CAAACCTTAAACCCTAAACCCTTATTAAACCCCAAACCCTAAAGCCTATAAACCCTGAGCCCTAAGGTCTAAGCCCCAAGCCCTAACCCCAGACCTCCAAGCACGCCTAGGCATCGCTTTGCCTGCTACTTCGCCCGCGTGGATGAGGGATCGACCAATGCAACGGAGCTGCTGGTCCAAGTATCCCGAAAGTGGCGGCCGATCTCTTAGCTTATAGGGTTTAGGGTTTAGGGTTGAGGGTTTAGGGTTTAGGGTTTCCCGAAAGTGGCGGCCGATCTCTTAACAGCTTATAGGGCTTAGGGCTTTAGGAAGTTTAGGGTTTTAGGGTCTTGGAGTTCTGGGGTTTTAGGGGTTTGGGTTTGTTTCGGGCGTTTTAGGGGTTTAGGGTTTTAGGGTTTTAGAGTGTTGGGGCTGTTAGGGTTTAAGGGTTTCGGTTTTAGGGTTTTGAGGGTTTTAGGGGTTTAGGGTTTCAGGGTTTTAGAGGTTTTGGGGTTTTAGGGTTTTAGGGTTTCGAGGTTTTAGAGGTTTTGGGGTTTTAGGGTTTTAGGGTTTTCGGGTTTTTGGGGTTTTAGGGGTTTAGGGGTTTTAGGGTTGTGGGGGGTTTAGGGTCTTTAGGGTTTTAGGGTTTTAGGGTTTTAGAGTTTTAGGGTTTTAGGGTTTAGGGTTTTAGGGTTCAGGGTGTGGGCCCCAAGGTTCCGTGCGGAATATAAAGGGAATAGTAGGGAAATTTTTCTGGCATTCCTACTCTATTCTTGGGGTTCCCTGTTTTGGGTTCCCATTAAGGTCCCTTCTTAAACGACGTGAAGGCCCAATCCAAGCCACTCAGAGGTGTGCTTTCTTACTGAAGAGGGCTCAGCCCTGTAGGCACTTTAGACCTCACACCGAGTCGCCCTGATCCCTACCGAAGCATCGTGAGTTCTTTTTGGGTTTAGGGTTACTCGTTTAGGGTTTAGGGTTTAGGGTTTAGGGTTTACGGTTTACGGTGTAGGGCTTACGAGCAACGGAGCCTATTGAGATCATGGGGCCGGACGCCTCCCACAACACTGCCCGCGCCAAGCTGCCCAGCACACGGGCCCTTGGCCCGTGCCTTTCAAGAACCGGGCAGCTTAGGGGTTTAGGGTTTAGGGTTTAGGGTTTAGGGTTTAGCGTTTAGGGTTTAGGGAAACCCCACACCCGTCACCCTAAACTCTCAGCCTCAGAGCCTTGTCAAACGCAAACCCTAAACCCTACACCCCTATAGGTCTCAGATTCTAGACCCGAAACCCTAGACCCTAAACCCTAAACCCTAAATAGCCCCTTCAACCCTAAACCCAGGTAACCCCAAACCCTAAACCCTAGACCCAAAACCCTAAAAGTCAGTTCGGGAGCTCCGGAGCTTCCCGCCCTCCCCCCACAAGAGCAGGAGGAGCAGAGTCGGCAAAACATCGCGCGCCTTGGGGCCGGTCTGGGGTTTAGGGTTTAGGGTTTAGGGTTGAGGGCTTAGGGTTTAGGGTTTAGGGTTCAGGGTTCAGGGTTCAGGGTTTAGGGTTTAGGGTTTAGGGAATGTATGTGCGCATATAACGATAATACTTGCTATGGCTGCTATCATGGCTAACTGGAGTTATGTAGTTGTAAGTATCATTGTTACTCCATACTCCATGCTGTCATGTACTGCAACTTATATTATGATATCAAGAAAAGGAGTAGTGCTGTGTTTTGTTCGATATGGTGTCTACCATTGTGTGCATCTGTCTGTGTCTTTGTCGGTCTGCCTGCACTGCAGCCTCCCTACAGTAAACCCTGTGTATACCATTACCCTTGAAGCCTGGGATGTTCCCCTTCACCTAACAGCCGTTAATGGGGATGACAGTACCCCCCCCCCCCCCTATTATCATCCCTATTAAGGACTGTTGGTATTCGGGGGAACATCCCAACTTGAACCCTTAAACCCTGAACCGTGTCTTGTTGAGATGGCCGTAGTCAGGAACGGTCCAGGTGGCCTCAGTGGCCTCTTTGTTTCTCCTCTCGGGAAATCGTGTCCAAGCCCAGTCTGCCAACAGCCGAAAGCCCAACGCTGAGCCTGGAAGCTTCAGTCCTACTACGCATCATCCTTCCCTAAACCTCCCGAGCCCTGAACCCCCGAACCCATCAACTCCAAATCCCCCCGAGGCTTCGGGAGATGGAGTTACAGAGTTTGGAAGTCCCTGCCCAAACCCGAAACCCGAAACCCGAAACCCGAAACCCTAAACCCTAAACCCTAAAACGCATGATCCCGAAACAGGTGGAGCTACAAGGAGCACACCCTGATGTTCGTTGATCAGATGTCCAGCACTCACGCTGCGGCGGTCCATCATATTGATTTTTTTTTCAGGGGGTAGGGTTTAGGGTTTAGGGTTTAGGGTTTAGGGTTTTAGGGTTTAGGGTTTAGGGTTTAGGGTTTAGGGTTTAGGGTTTAGGGTTTAGGGTGACCCCCATATTCGCTGAATTTGCACCAGCCTGCAGCCAGTGTGTAGGGTTTGGGGTCTAAACCTATGGTACTTTTAGAAATCATGCACAAACATGTGTAGAACTCTTTCTGCATGAGTCAATCCTGGGTTTAGACCGGTTTAGTGCCCAGCGGTTTTCGGGTAAGGGTTAAGGGGATGCCAATTGACTGCTCTTCTCGCATTTATACTTAGGGATGCTTGGATTCTTTCATTGTTGGGTACTTCAATTCCTAAGAAGCTGCTGAAATTATACTTTGTGCTAGGGTTCCAAATTCCGTATAGTACACCTGGCAACCCCACAGGGTGGGGCCTAGTTTAGGGTTTAGGGTTTAGGGTTTCGGGTTTCGGGTTTAGACTCGTATGCAGAATTCATGTTGTCCTTGGTGGGATAAGTGTACTTAAGTCTCATGCCCCTAAGCCCTTACCTGCTGAACCCTGTGAAGCCTATAAGCTCTACGACTCTATGTCTCTTTTAAGCCCCCAAGCTCTGAAAAAGAAACCTAAACACTATAAACCCTTAACCCTAAACCATAAACCTCAAACCCAAAACCCCAAACCCCAAACCCCAAACCCCAAACCCCAAGCCCCAAACCCCAAACCCCAAACCCTAAACCCTAAACCCTAAACCCCGAATCGTCTAGCCTGTCCTTGCTGTCTCACCAGACATTCCAAGGTTTGGCTACGACCTGGGCCCGGTACTCTTCAAGCCAGCTGAGGCGCCTTTAGGGTTTAGGGTTTAGGGTTTAGGGTTTAGGGTTTGGGGTTTGGGGTTTGGGGTTTAGGGTTTATGGTTTAGGGTTTAGGGTTTAGGGCTTAGGATTTAGGGTTTAAGGCTTGGGGTTCAGTGTCTTATGCATACCTAGATGGTCCCTGTTCTGGGTGTTTAATGTCGAGGGGGTAGTAGGGTCAGCACGGGTTCTTGGTAAGGTTTAGGGTTGAGGGACATGGGCCTATAAGAGCAACTACTTCCCCAATTCCCTACGGAAGACTGAGGAAATTGTGGGGTGAGACTGTCGGAAACCCGTGCACATGGACCCTAAACCCTAAACCCTAAACCCTAAACCCTAAACCCTAAACCCTAAGCCCTAAACCCTAAACCCTAAACCCTAAACCCTAAACCGTGATGTAGAACCTCGAAAGACTCCTATTTCAGAGTCTTGTGGCCGAAGCCCTAATCCCTACCGATTGAGGTTCTGGGAGCCAAAGACCATCCATCACACTAAGCCCTGACTCCTGCTTGAGGCATAGGGTCTAGGGCTTAGGGTTTAGGATTTTGGGCTTAGAGGGTGGGGGGGTCGGCGGGGGTTAGAAGGACTTGGGTCGCAGGGCTTCAAAGGGTTTGGGCTTAGGGTTTCGGGTTTGGGACATGAGGTACGTAGTTAGAGTTAAGCATATAAACTGCACGGCGTAGGGTCGTCCGAGCGGGCCTGAATTCTCGTCGCAAGTGAAAGGTTCAGCTTAGGGTTTAGGGGCTTAGGGCTTGTAGGGCTTGTAGGGCTTGTAGGGGTTTAGGGTTTAGGGTTTAGGGTTTAGGGTTTAGGGTTTAGGGTTTAGGGTTTAGGGTTTGGGGTTTAAGGTTTAAGGTTTAAGGTTTAGGGTCTAGTTTAGGACTGCAGGTTTTTGAAGGCCCTCTGTCGCTTGATTGCTATTTCCGGCTTTTCCGTGGCTCAAAGAGAGTTCTTTGCCAGAAAACTCTGGCAGAGACTGGGTAGAATCTTCATGGACAAGATGAATTGCACTGATTCGGGTTCCAGGACAAAAATGCTCAAGGTCTGAGACCTGGAGATTGCGTGGTTCATGCAAATAAATCTTTGTTGGCTGACTGACTAACACCTGCGAGGTAAGCAAAGACAAGGCCATGCCCAGGCAAGCACTACAACACACCGGTAGATGACCAACTGACACTTCCAGCCACTTGCATTTTGCCGTTGTTTTGGTGTCCAACGTCGCACCCTGTGAAGAAGTCGGTGCGACCTCAAATCCCTTTTTTCCCACGCGGGCCGGCAGCATGTCGGAGGCGAACAAAGAGGCGGGAAGTGAAGGCTTCATGGTTTAAGGTTGAGCGTGGTTTGTACCCACCATGTTGCGTTCAGGGGTTATTGGAGTGTGAGTATGAGTGACTCTGTGTGTGTGTGAGAGAGTGTGTGAGAGTGCACTTGTGCTGCACGTCCTGCAACTGGTGTAGCAGGGAGCAGGGAGCGCAACTTTTTGATTTAGAGGTGACCGACAACCCGAGCACGCCAGATCCCAGAGAGGTTTAGGGTTGCGGGTTGAAGGGTTGGTGTCTAGGGCTCAGGATTTAGATTTCTAGGCTTCCTAGCCACATTAGTACATTTTGTTCCTTGTGAGTCCTTTGCAACAACCGACACCAAAACGGGTACCCTTAGCATGATAGGGTAATCTACGCTCAAGGTTTAAGGGTTTAGGGTTTAGGGGTTTACCATAGGATTAGTTGACGTTATTTATCCCGCCCCCTCAATTGGTTCTTGACTATTCTTTTCATGGACGTTTTTCGCTCTCAAGAAGGCACTTCTAATGGTCGACTTTACTGGTTCTCCGTACATCCGGGAATGAGGTACCCCCCCCCCCGCCCCAAACTCTAAACCCTAAACCCTAAACCCTAATCCCCAATCCCTAATCCCTGAAAGGGGGTACATATAGGGGACAGTTCCTTGATCCACGACTAGGAACCCGTAAGTTTTTTTCCACCCCCCCCCCCCCGTAGTAGCTCTCCTTTGTAGACGTCTACATCCCCGAGGCTGGTTTTCCCTTGTGGATTCAACAACCCCCCCTCCCCCCAGTAGGTATTATTTGTAAAGCTCAAACCCCCCGAAGTATGTAACTTGTGCTTGTACTTTTTTCTTTTTTTTTGTGTAGGCTTCCAAAACACCAAAATGTAGGTGCGCAGACCGCCAATGTAAAGCCCAAGGTAGGCATGTCTTTCAAAGTCGTTGTGCCTCCCTACTAGCCCTAAACCCTGAACCCCAAACCCTAAACCCAAACCCTAAACCCTAAACCCTAAACCCTAACCCCTAAGCCTAAACCCTAAACCCTAAACCCTAAACCCTAAACCCTAAACCCTAAACCCTAAACCCCTGGGGTCCGCGGGGAGGAAATTGACAAGTGCAAGCAGCTCGCCAAGAGTGCCCTCGCCGGGGGCGATGCTGCGAGCTGAGCTTTCTGTTTGTTTTTGTTTAAGGGTTTCTGTGGGGTTTAGGGTTTAGGGTTTAGGGTTTAGGGTTTAGGGTTTAGGGTTTAGGGTTTGGGGTTTGGGGTTTGGGGTTTAGCGTTTAGGGTTTAGGGTTGAGGGTTTAGGGTTTAGGTTTAGGTTTTAGGGTCTAGGGTTTATAAGGGTTTCGGGTTTTTAGGGTCTAGGCCTAGGGTTTTAGGGTTTAGGGTTTAGGGTTTAGGCACTAGGGTTTAGGACTAGGGGCTTGCGGGGTGTGCAGGGCTTAGAAAGAGTTTGCAGGGATTTAGAGGGCTTGTAGGGTTTTTGTTGGGGGTTTATAGGGGGGTTTGTATGGATTGCAGGGTTTTCGGGTGCAAGAGCGCCGGGGTGTACGGTTTCGGGTTTGGGGTTTAGGGGTTTTGGTCTTGAGGTTGTTTAGGTGCGTGGGGGTTGTCAATGCCCAAACCCCAAAACCCGAACCCCAAACACCCCAAACCCAAATCCCCAAACCTCGAACACCAAATCCCAGACCCTAACCCCAAACCCTAACCCCAAACCCTAAACCCCAAACCCTAAACCCTAAACCCCAAACCCTAAACCCTAAACCCTAACCCCTAACCCTCAGGCCCCCCAGACCACCCCAAACTCCTGATCTCTAAAACCTGAAGCGAAGCAGCAGACTGTAGGTTTAGGGTTTGGGGTGTAGGGTGCAGGGTGTAGGGTGTAGGGTTTAGGGTTTAGGGTTTAGGGTTTTGGGTTTAGGGTTTAGGGTTTAGGGTTTAGGGTTTAGGGTTTAGGGAGGCTTGCTAGAGGACCCTCAGACCAGCTAAACCAGAGGCCGAAAAGGCTACACGCCTCCTGCAGAAGGTGGATTTTTTGTTGGGGGAGGGAGGGGGGGGGGGGTTCACGGGGTTTAGGGTTTAGGGTTTAGGGTTTAGGGTTTAGGGTTTAGGGTTTAGGGTTTAGGGTTTAGGGTTTAGGGTTTAGGGTTTAGGTTTTGGGGGTTTAGGGTTTCGGGGATGAGGGTTAGGGGAGATTTGCTTCAGCGGAGTGTTTCGGCTCCGGCGCTCAGGTTCCATGGCTGAAGGAGTGGTGTTGTGGGGTTGCGTTGTCGACTTAGGGCTTATAGGGCTTTTAGGGCCTTTTGGGCTTTTAGGGCTTATGGGGCTTTTAGGGTTTATGGGGCTTTTAGGTCATTTAGGGATTGCAGGGAGTAGGTTGCGGGGCACGTTGGAGATGTTAGCGCTTGCAGGGGACAGCCCTAAACCCTAAACCCTAAACCCTAAACCCTAAACAGCCCTTAGACCCCAAGATTGCTCTGTTGTTCGGTGGATTTTATTCAAGCCCGGGGCCAAACCCCTTTTATCAGAGTCTGAGGGTGTTCTGGTTTGGGGGTTTCCCTTATACTATCAGACCTTCATACGGATTCTTATAGGGTACTATAGCCCTAATAATAAAGGACTGTTCGTATAAGGCGGAACATCCCAAGCTAGAGGATTTAACAAGGCTTTGCTCATGTTTGCGATGGAGTTGCGCAGAATTATAGGGGTCATCTTTCTGTTGAAGGTTTGGGGATTCAAGGAATATCGGGTCTGGCTCTCGTGCGTGGCCGGGCGAAGCCTCAAAGGGCTTAAGGTTCCCGATAACGGCAGCACGGCGGCTTTTGGGATGACCTCGTTGACCGGCCTGTCCCTTTCTTTCTTCCCTTGAAAAGCCAAGGGTTGGGCTTTAGGGCTCAGGGATTGGGTGTGGAGTGCATGGGGATTTCATGGTGCTGACGGTTGGGATGAGCTTTGAACCTGATTCAGAGTGTACTCGTAGGGTTCAGGGAAGGGTTTAGGGTTTAGGGGTTCAGCAGCGTCCTTGACTCCTCAGCCTTGAGCACGTTGCTTGTGGATAGGCGAAGCGCATGTGTCCAACGGACACATCCATCGACGAACTGATCGCAGCCGCACAGGCCTACGAAGCCTACAGAAGGATTGAGGGCTCATTTGACACTAGGACCCAGAGTAGGCCCTTATTCCCTTTTTGTTGGGTCTAGGTTCCCTTAGAAGCGCCTTTTAAGGCAAAAAGGGCACCATGTGTATTCCCAGGTTGCTCTTGGCTCTAGCACAGGTACCTGCTTTTGATTTGTGATTCATGCCCTGCCCCTCAAGATTCCTGCGCGCACAGAATCCCCATGTCGCGCCCCACAAATACAAACATCCCACTCTTTACATGGGTTTAGGGTTTAGGGTTTAGGGTTTAGGGTTTAGGGTTTAGGGTTTAGGGTTTAGGGTTTAGGGTTTAGGGTTTAGGGTTTAGGGTTTAGGGAACGTACAAAGGCGCATTTTGGCAGTACTGGTATTACGAGATTTTCATGCTAGGGTGGAGGTGTTTGTGCGGGTCTCTGCTCACGAAACGTCTTGGGACATTCCACCTGGCATTGGCCCCCTTGTCCTGAACTTGTTTTCTTGGCAAAGAGACATCATGCAGGTTCGGGGTTTAGGGTTTAGGGTTTAGGGTTTAGGGTTTAGGGTGTAGGGTTATAGTATGATGAGGCTGGCATGCACCGCTATAGTACTGTTTCTAAGAAATGGAAAAGGTCATATCCCCCATAGCATCACAAACCGCCCTGGCTAAGCCTGGATTGCAGACCCGAACTCCATCGAATCCTAAGACTCAAGCCCCAAGTGTCTTTGGCTACGGCGGTTTGGGGCTTTAAGGTTGAGGGTTCTGGGTGAATCTGGTTGCTTGCTGGAGGGTGCCGTAAGGAGGTGCGGGGCTAACATGGATTTAGGGCTTAGCCCCCGACACCCATTTCATGACTTGCAAAGCCCAAACCATCCCAAACCCCCACCCATACCTAGTCTAAACGCTTGGCAACGACGAGGATGGTGCTGATGATGATGATGATGATGCTGATGGTGATGACGTGGATGGTGGCGAGTTTTCACCAAGAGCCACGAACATCTTAAACGCAAGGGTGTACTGTGAGCTTACGCAAGACGCACATGTTACTACAACAAGACCTTCCCCTAAGGGTCCATGTACCTCATTATTTTATACTTGGGCCCGAAAGTCCCTATATAGGAAGCACTTTAAGGCCCAAGTATTCCCTATTTAGGTACCCTAAACCCCAAAACAGAAACCCTAAACCCTAAAAACCCTAAAAACCCTAAGCCCTAAACCCTGAACCCTAAACCCTATTCCCCCTTAGGGTTCCTCAACTCATCTGGGAGGTTGCCGGTGCCTCTGCAGGGGCCTCCTCGCCCTCGGCCAAGGGCGACTCTGACGGAAATCCCACTGCCTCCGAGGACGGGGTTTAGGGTTTAGGGTTTAGGGTTTAGGGTTTGGGGTTTAGGGTTTAGGGTTTAGGGTTTGGGCTTTTGGGTTTGGGGTGCGAGGTGCTTGTTACGCAAAGCCAATGGCTCACATAGGAAAGAGTGAAGGACATGCACGCAGAAGCAAAGGCGTACTCAACATCGACATTGAAACCACCCATTAACCCTAAAACTCTAAACAAATCCTGAAGCCCTAGAACCCTGGAGCCACGATGCTGTGACAGACATCCGGAGCACCTCATGAGTCGGGGGGTCGCCAACACCCACCCCCCTCTTAGCAAGCCCGACAAGGGCATTTCCCAAAATAGGGATACCCCTCTTTAGGGTTTAGGGTTTAGGCTTTAGGGCTACTAGGATCCAGAGTAGGCCCTGTTTATGCCCGAAAAGAATAGAAATCCTGAGCCCACCGTCCGCTCTCCGACACCAAGACAGTCACCCCGTGCACGCCCCGAGCCCAAATGGTTTAGGGTTTAGGGTTTAGGGTTTAGGGTTTAGGGTTGGCCCAAATATGCCCCAAACCCTGCCTACTACAGAAGACCAAACCCAAAATTCCCGAACCCTAAATGAAAACCAAAACCCCAAACTCAAAAAGTATCCTTTAACCCTACCCCAAACCCTAAATCCCAAACCCTCAAAGACTAAACCATCCCTAAACCCTAAACCCAAATCCCTGACCCTAAGCCCTAAACCCTAACCCTATGGTTATTTCCAAAATGCCTAAACCCTAAGCCCTAAGCCCTAACCCTATGTTTTTTGCTAAAACCCTTGAACCCTATACTATACCCCCTAAGCCTTTTAACTTTAACCCTAAACCCTAAACCCTAAAACCTAAACCCTAAACCTTTTAACCCTATACCGCACAGAGCCCCCAGGGCTTCCGCCACCGCGCCTCGGCGACGTCGACCTCGTCAGGGGCCTCCAGCAACGTTCGCACGGGCAAGGCGGGAGGGTTTAGGGTTTAGGGTTTAGGGTTGGGTTTAGGGTTTAGGGTTTAGGGTTTAGGGTTTAGGGTTTAGGGTTTAGGGTTTAGGGTTTACGGTTTAGGGTTTAGGGTTTAGGGTTTAGGGTTTAGGGTTTATAGGGTATAGGGTTTAGGGTTTAGGGTTTATAGGGTATAGGGTTTAGGGTTTAGGGTTTAAAGGTCTTTGCGTTCAGGGTTTAGGGCTCAGGGCTGAGGGCTTAGGGTATAGGACTGTTTGGGTACGGTTGTGGTTGTTCCACTAAGGACCCTACTGTGGAGCAAAACCCTAAACCCTAAACCGTAAACCCAATGGGGCTGCCAGCTGCCGACGAAGTTGAGGGAACTTAGTGGAATCAGATGGTTTCTCATGGAACGAAAGCGAGTCGGTAGATAGCCCAACAAAACCACATAAACAGAAGGATCCTACTACTGGGGTGCAAGGGCCCCTATAAGGGGGATTCCCGAAAACCCTGTTTGTAGGATCCTTACGCTTATGTGGTTTTTTGGGTTCTTAAGTGTACGAGCCCGAAATCCTAAGCCGTAATCTCCGCATGGTATAGACAGCGGCTTGGACACGTGCCCACCCGTAACCCACGAAGCCCGAGGCTACATCTCCGAAATGGGCCCTAAACCCTACACCGCCTTGGGTTATAATGCACGTCGAGCTCAAAAGGCTGCTTGGACCCCTAAGGGTCCATGTTTTGGTTATCTTTCTTGGGCCTCAAAGTCCCGACATAGGAAGTACTTTGAGGCTCGAGTATTCCCTATTTTAGGTACATGGACCCTTAGGGGAGGTGTATTGGGAGCGTAGGCGATGGCTCGTCTGACATCTTGCTGTTGCGGGCTTGGAATTCTGGGTGTAGGGAACTTATAGGGTTAGGGCCCCACGACAGGATCATCATGTCAAAAAAGGGATCCGGGATTGTCGTTGTTTTGTTTAATTGTGGTTGTTTCATGGCTTTGGCCCCCGTCTTCGGATTTGCCTTAACAGCCTGGCCAAGATGAGTCGCCACTGTGGCAAAGTGTGGAGAGCCCGACCCTGATGTTACCGGATGACCCCGACAGTCGAGCCTGGCCTCATCCTACACCTCCTCGTCACTTCCTGTTCCGTTGGCGGTAGGATTGAGCAAGGCTCTCGGCAGCCTTTCGGGCGCCACAGCACCCCACCAACCAAAGCTAGGCCCAACTGCAAGCCACCCCCATCCCGGCCCATCCCCCTTCAGCCCCCACGCCCGCCCCCGCCCCCCCTTTGCTAAGCCGTAAGCCCGATCCACCCTGCTCTCTTGCCAGGATGGCCGCCAGTACACGACGGAGCAGATGCAGCTCGTTCAGCGGATCCTGCGCACAAAGGACATCTTCAGCGCTCTGGTTGGCTTGGGTCTTGGCGACCAGTTTTATACACCCAACCTTAGCCTCCACGCGCTAAATCCTAAACTCAAACTAAGTAACTAGGGTTCATGGTCATTTTCCCAACTCCTAACCTGTAAAGCTCCCAAACCCTGAATCAAGAGTATCTGCTTTGGACCTGCAGTCATCACAAAGCACGGCCTTACAAGACCCGAAGTCCACCCAAAACCATCACCCCTTGCAGGTCCCTCGAGAACCATCTCAGAACCCAAAGCACCCTAAACCCTGGACCCCAAACTTGAAACCCTAACCCTAAACCATAGACCCTAAACCCTGAAGCCTAAACCCTTAACCCCACATGAACCCTAAACCCTAAACCCTAAACCCTAAACCCTAAACCCCAATTTGGAGGACTACTACGACATCCTCGAAGTGCCCAAGAATGCCAACGAAGATGTTGCGAAGAAGGAGGGCCCTGGCCTTCGCGATCTCAGTCCTGGGGTTTAGGGTTTAGGGTTTAGGGTTTAGGGTTTAGGGTTTAGGGTTTAGGGTTTAGGGTTTAGGGCTTATGGCTTAGGGCTTAGTGTTTAGGGTTTAGGGTTTATAGGGTTTAGGGTTTCAGGTGTTTTAAGTACCAGGTAGCCCCTTGGGATATTTCATATGTTCCCAGGTTTTCACCCTGAACCGCCGACCACACCCCTGAACCTTGGGCCCTAAACCCGAAGCCCGAAGCCCTAAGGTCTAAGCCCTAAACCCTAAACCCTAAACCCTAAACCCCAAACCCTACACTGTCAACTCGGCCAGGCATACCGAAAGTTGGCGCTGAAGCTGCACCCCGACAAGAATCGCGCCCCCGGAGCTGACGAGGCCTCCCGGCGAGCGGTTTAGGGTTTAGGGTTTAGGGTTTAGGGTTTAGGGTTTAGGGTTTAGGGTTTAGGGTTTAGGGTTTAGGGTTTAGGGTTTAGGGTTTAGGGTTTAGGGTTTAGGGTTTAGGGTTTAGGGTTTAGGGTTTAGGGTTAGGGTTTTCGGGATTTTAGGGGTTTTTGGGTTTAGGGTTTAGGGTTTAGGGTTCAGGGTTTAGGGTTTAGGGTTTAGGGATTTTAGGGTTTTAGGGTTTTAGGGTTTTGGTCTTGGGTTTTGGGGGTTTTAGGGTTTTAGGGCTTTAGGGTTGAGGGTTCAGGGCTTAAGTTGTGTCGGGGGTTTGGGGTTTGAGGGTTCGAGGACTTAGGGTTACGGGGTACTGGCCCTGGGGTCCGGACCTTTACTGCAGTGTTTAGGGTTTAGGGTTTAGGGTTTAGGGTTTAGGGTTTAGGGTTTAGGGTTTAGGGTTTAGGGTTTAGGGTTCCAACACCCTGGTGACAGCCCTAAACCCCCCCAGAAGTCACATCGGAGCATGCTTTAGCGCCGAGGTTTTGGATTCCCGGTAGCCCAGTGGTGCATTCTTGCTGCCAACACCGAAGAGGATTCTGTACCATTCGAAAAATTTGTGTGGGTTTAGGGTTCCTGGTCCATGACTTAGAGTCCAGGTTGTAGGGTTTAGAGGGTGTAGGGTTTAGAGAGAACTCAGATCTACAGTCCCTTATCTCCCACGCCTCTAAAGAAATTTCTTACCGATTTCCGACCCTAGACCCTTAGCCCTGAACCCCCAAACCTAAACCCGAAGCACCAACCCCTTGCTAAGCCGTAAGCCTATACCCTAAACAACGCCCCCTCCGGCTTCCCACAAACTGCCAAACTGCAGGAACTAGCCCTTCCACCCTAAACCCGAAACTCTAAACCCGAAACCCTAAACCCTAAACCCTAAAGTGTAGGCCCCAAAGAAAATCCTAAGGCCGGACTATTGCGAAGCAAGCTACTATTGCTCATGACCCCCCCCCCCCCAAAAAAAAAAAAAAACATGAATAACAATCCCTTCTTGGCCTAACAAGCAAGAGTAGTTGTACTTTCGGGTGGTTCTCAAGGAAGTAGTAGTAAAGAGCTGTGCGCCAGGCTTTCAAGAAACTCTCGAAGGCCTTCCAGTGCCTCACGGATCCCGAGAAGAAGCCGCCCCATCTGCAGAGCCGGGGGTTAAGGATTTGGGGTTTAGGGTTTGGGGTTCGCTGAGGGTCTTGGGCTTTCGGGATTTCTGGTTATATAGGACTCAGAGATCAGGGTTTTTTAGGACTGTGGTCTCGGGATTGGGGGTTCAGGTTTAAGGCTGCGGGCTTTGCTGCCAGAAACAGACACATGGACATTCGCATCGATTTAGCTCATCCCAAGGCAAGTCTATGACACTTACGGTGACGAAGAACGAATTCCACAACAGCAGCGGCATCACTATCAGCAGGCGCCACGGGCAGCAGGGCCACAGTCTCTAATCCCTGCCTGAGAATTTAGGGTTGGGGCTTGAACCCCTTCCACCTTACGAACCCTTCTCATTCTGCCGCAAGGAGGGCTCCCGTGTAGTGATGTTGCACAGCTGTTGCCCTAGGCTAGGCCCTACTCGGCCCTCTTGTTGTTTGAACAGCACCCTCAAACCTCAACCCATCACCGGATTTGGGGTTTAGGGTTTATAGGGTTCAGGGTTTAGGGTTTAAAGGTTTCATAGTAAGGGTTTGCAGGTTATTTTGGTTAAATCGGCTTTATAGGGTTTCTAGGGCTCATAGATTCAGAGGGTTTTTGGAGTTCCAGTCTTTTGGGATTTTCTGTCAGATAAAGAGGGCCACCTTGCCACAGCAATCCCAATACACGGCACTAGGGTGCAAGTTTAGGCTGCGGTTCAGATATGAGGCTTAGGGTTTAGGATCGCATTCAGGGTTACATAATTTGTATACGCGGCTCAAGCATTCTAAGGCTTATATGGTTGGAGGCGGCAGGGGGTTGCTGCCTTTTGGTTTCTAAATTGTAGCGGCGTTAGGATTTACTGTTGCACGTTTTAACCCCTACCACCATAGCTTCAGGCAGACCCTGAAGGTCTAAGAGCCCCAAAGCCACAAAAACTTACAGGAATCCTCCCAGCCTCCTGTTTGCCAGGACTTCATGACTCCAGAGGATCTCTTCGCGGCGTTTTTCGGCGGAGGCCCCGTCTTCCACCAACATCAGCGCCACTGGGCAGGCGATGATTTTTTGTTCGGCTTTTTATCCCTAAACCCTAAACCCTAAACCCTAAACCCTAAACCCTAAACCCTAAACCCTCAACCCTCAACCCTCAACCCTCAACCCTCAAAACCCTAACCTTTTCAGCCCCCCGGCCCCATTTTTTTGAGCTGCGGCTTCCTCTGCAGCCGCAGCAGATGTTCACATGCATGCCTTCCTGGCTCTTATGTTTTGGGGTTTAGGGTTTAGGGATTAGGGTTTGGGGTTTAGGGTCTTAGTAGGGGATTGTATTAATTCCGTAGACCTAGTATGATGCCGAGGTCACCATGCACATCATCAAGACGATGGACAGGTGCAGCGGATGCAGATTTTCCAAGCGCTGCCAGTTCTGCTGCTGGCGCCTGGCTCAGCTCGATCTGTTGGCCCTGACCAGCCCTGATACACAGGGATTCTTGTCCCTAAGGGATTATTATTATTATTACTATTATCATATATATATATACTTGGGTCCCAAAGTCCCTATATACGAAGTACATGAAGGCCCAAGTATTCCCTGTTAAGGTACATGGACCCTTGGGGTGTAATTCTACATGGGCTGTTTTCCTGCAAAGGTGTTCGGCTATGGAACATTGTTGCCCATACTGGGGACATGACTAGAAGGACTAGGAGCTTCCGCGTTCCGAGGTGCTTCTCACCCTCTCCAACTTTGGCAAGGACTCTGGAGGCTTCCTGTTGCTGCGGTTCTTGAGGGGTTGGGGTTCGGTACAAGTTGCAGTTAAGACCCCAGAGCCGTCGCATTTGGCGAGCTGCAACGGCTTATGTCAGGCTGGATATGGGGTCGGTCTCGGCACTGCATAACAATGGTCTACGTCGTCTGTCTGCTTTTATGCCTCCTCGTTCCAGGATTCAAGCCCTACCTTAAGATCCCCAAAACCCACCTTTTTGTAGGATCTTCTTACAAAAGCCCTTATAGGGTTCTTAGGTAACCTGCAAAAAGTAGGCTTTGGGTTCACAAGGTACTCGCAATCCCCGCCAGCAGGGCTCAATTCCTGTCGTCATGATCCGAACCCAGCGCACGCTTTGTATGCCATGTGAGGGAGCTATAGGGTTTAGGGTTTAGGGTTTAGGGTTTAGGGTTTAGGGTTTAGGAGGGTTTAGGGTTTAGGGTTTAGCAGAACGTAGAAAGCCCCATGTCCTAAACCCCAAACCTTGAACCGAAAACGCCATGCAAGCCCTGAAGGGCCCAGCAGGGCCCTCAAGACCTCGTGCTCTTAGGCCAGTGACCTTTGGACAACCATCCACTCAAATGCAAGGTCTTGGCTCGGGCCCGGTCGGGCCCGGGGCACCTCGTGCTCTTAGGCCAGTGACCTTTGAACAACCATCCACTCACTTCAATGCCTGGCTCAGCAGGGCCCAGCAGGGCCCAGCAGGGCCCTCGTGCTCTTGGGCCAGTGACCTTTGAACAACCATCCACTCACTTCAATGCCTGGCTCGGCCACTAAGCCCCGACACCTCGTGCTCCTGGGCCAGTGACCTTGGACAACCATCCACTCCTCTTCTCCGAAGCTGGAAACTTCTTCCGAGCTCCCCGCCGGGAGCCCCCATTTTTGAAAAGACAACTTCCTCCAACAGCTGCTACTGTTCCTAATCAGCAAGTCCAGCATGATGTAAGCCTTGACTGTGCACGAGCTCAGAGGCACAGCGACGATGCCCGCCCGTGACTAAGGTGTTTTTCCATGTTCTGGCAGAAGTTCTCCGACTGCTTCTCCGACTACGACGTTTGTCGATCGAACGAGAACGTATGCACGATGTTGCAGCCAAGAAACAATGACTTCCCGATAAGTATATACCTGGCCGTCGAAGCTCGAAAGAGAAGCTGAAATTCGAAACCGTCCTTTAGACAAGCGGGAATTTAGTCTTTTGTGCTTCTGTGATTAGGACTTTACGGCTTCTGAGCTTTAGGGTTTATGGTTTATAGGCAAAACCCCAAACTCTCGACCCTCAATCCTCTCCGCTTCCTGGGAGGCGGCCGGTTTTCCTTCCAAGCCAACAATGCCTACCGCAACGAGCGGAGTACGGCCACGCTCAACGTGCCATACTACGTGACAGACGATTTTGAGGAGCATTACAGCGAAGGTGGGGAGGAGGGGGGTCTACAGTAAGCTCCAAGAAGTTGGAACGTCCTTATCCCCATACCCCAAGATGTATACAAGAGGCTCTAATCATCCTTACACCATGGTCCAAGTTTCTGGAGTGTCCTGTAGCGTGAACGGCGGTTTTCAGGGGATTCATGGGGTCTACAGGTCTTGTTTTGATTGGAGTTCTTAAGTGGGTGGAGGGCTAGCTTCCTCTCAAAAGTACGGTGCCTAGAAAAAAATCGAACTACAATTCAGCATCTGCATGGAAGCTCTTTGTGTAAGGGAGCTTTTGGGGCTTAAGGCGTTTCGGGTGTTGAATTCCACCGGTAACTGAAATCCATAACTCTTAACCCTATCACGGTCGATGACCTTCGACCTCATAAGGTTCCGGGCTTCAAAGCTTTAGGGTTTTTAGCTTCTAAGTTCAACCTGTGGGTTTCGGATCCCCTAAACCTATTATAGTACCCTCTCTTAGAATCCCCACAAAGGACTGGTAGCATAAGGGGGAACATCCCAATTTCAGGGTCTAAGGGAGCACGAGCTGCGGGTAGGTACACGATCCCTGGCGGAGTTCGACAGGCAGGTGGAGAAACTTGGGATGATATTAGGGTTTAGGGCTTAGGGTTTAGGGTTTAGGGCTTAGGGTTTAGGCTACTTCTAACCCGAATTATAACTGCACTTATAGGCCCCCTAAGTCCCCTCAGTGGGTTAGAAGTAGACTTATGACTGTGGTTGTAAGTACCCATGAACCTCCAAGTAGAGGGGCCCTATAGGATTTGCAGGGTTTACCGGATTTGCAGGATTTATTGGGTTTACATGCGCATACGGGGGATATATGTGGTTCATACGAAGTATAGGGTTTACAGGGTTTATAGGTTGCAGGGTTTGTAGGGTTTTTAGGGCATGATAATCTGGTTTATTTGGCTGTTCTGCGAGGGGCAGTTCTTATTTGTCTTTAGGGTTTGAGGGCTTCAGGGTGTGAGGACGGTGAGAGTGAGAGGGTTAGGAAGTGAAGTTCGTGTCTTGCTTATGAGTCTACAGCTTGAGGGCTTCAGAGTTTGAGGGTTCATAGGGGTTTATCGCACGGGTGTAGGGTTTCGAAGATAGGGTTCAGGCCCTTGGCATAGGCAAATGAACCTGCAAAGTAGCAATCCCAAACCCCAAAACAACCCAAAGACCCTAATTCAACCAACTTATCGACCCACACCGACCGTGAGACCCTGATCGACGTGCTTGTAGACCCTTGCTAGGCCCTCTTGCCTTTCGACCCTAAGCCGCAGAAACTCAAATTCAGGAAGCTAGAAAGGCCCGAAATCTTTAAAAACCCTAAGCCCTAAACCCTAAACCCCAAACCCCAAACCCTAAACCCTAAACCCTAAACCCTAAAAGGCCCTATAAGATAGGTCCATGTACCTTATTGCTATACACTTGGGCCTCCCACAGTCCCTATACAGGAAGTACTTTAAGGCCCCAAGTATTCCCTATTTAGGTACATGGACCCTTAGGGACTTGCCCCCAAACCCCCCTAAACCCCAAACCCCAAACCCTAAACCCTAAACCCTAAACCCTAAACCCTGAACCCTGAACCCTGAACCCTAAACCCTAAACCCTAAACCCTAAACCCTAACGTCATTTTGATTTTGGGGCTTAGGGAGGGAAAGCAAACAGAAGCCAAGGATATACCACATACGGAACCTGGGCTCGGATTGCGACTACCAGGAGAAGACCCAGTACAAGAAGGCTTGGGGGCTTAGGCCCATACCCGGAACCCTAGCCCTAAACCCTAAACCCTAAACCTAAACCCCAAACCCTATAAACCCTAAACCCTAAACCCTCGGCTTAGGGTAGGCTAGCATAGGATCCCAAGGGTGACGCGCAAAGGGAACTTTCTGAGAGACAAGGAAGGGCGAGACTGTGAAGGGGCTCAGGGTATGTGGGGCTTTGGGTTGCAACCACTCAGTCTGGGTTGAGGCTTTAGGGTTTAGGGTTTAGGGTTTAGGGGGGTTTAGGTTTAGGGCGTAGGGCTTAGGGCTTAGGGCGTAGGGCTTAGGGCTTAGGGCTTAGGGCTTAGGGCTTAGGGCTTAGGGCTTAGGGCTTAGGGCTTAGGGCTTAGGGCTTATGACGATGTTGCCGTGAGTCTACATGGGCGGGGGGGGGGGGGGTGCTCTCAATTACATGTCCTTCTTGGTCACCTCGTCATTGAGTACCTATACCACAGCGGAGACTTAAAAATCGGCGACCTGTCCGAAAACCCTAAACCTTAAACCCTAAACCCTAAATCCCTTTGCGGTCTTATAGACCTGCCACCCTTAGCCTAAAACCCGAACACGCGGAAGCGCTAGAACCCCAAAGCCCAGAGGGCCCTAAACCCTCAACCCTAAACCCTAAACCCTAAACCAGGTCCTACAGGCCAAAAGGCGGAGAAACGAAGAAGAGCTGCAAGTCTCCTCGCGGCAGTAGGAAGATGTCATGGGTAAGGGGGAAGTTAGCTTGGAGTTTAGGCTTCGGTTGAGGGTTTAGGGTTTGGGGTTTGGGGTTTGGGGTTTGGGACGGATCCGCCCAACAACGAACAAAGAACACCTCCTCCTTGACCCCCAAAAGGCTGATGTACGGTAGAGTCTATAGAGCTACCCTGAACCCTAAATCCTATACTCTGCCCGGCTTCTTGTTCGATACCATGCTTTCCGGCTTCGGGTGCCTTGCACGCCGCAAAAGGGGTCCGCTGGACGCTTTGGGGCTTCGGGCTTTTTGAATGGTAGAGGGTTTGGGGTTTAGGGTTTAGGGTTTAGGGTTTAGGGCAACGACAACCGGTAAATCCTAAACCTGAAGCCCTAAACCCCCAAAAACTAAAGGGCCCATCAACCCCCTTTCAGGGAACGTTGGGGAAGCTTCAGGGGCTTCATCAGGGATTTCTAGAACCCCTAAGCCCCTAACCTATGCAGAGCCTTGAAAGCCAGAGACTTGACTCTGTACCCTACAGATCCAGCCTCGTGCCAAGAAAAACACACTACCACCCTAACGCCTTCTCCTGCCATCCTAAACCCCTAAACCTAAAACACCCTAAACCCTAAACCCGAAACCCTAAACCCTAAACCCTAAACCCTAAACCCTAAACCCTAAACCCTAAGCCCTAAGCCCTAAGCCCTAAGCCCTAAGCCCTAAGCCCTAAGCCCTAAGCCCTAAGCCCTAAGCCCTAAGCCCTAGCAGCCCTACAGTCCTAAACCCGACGCTGCAATCGTATAGTCATACCTAAGCCCTAAAAACCTTAAGACCTAAGCACCAAGCCCTAGAATTCTAAATCCTAAGCCCTATATGCCCTAGAATCCTCAACCTTAAGCCGTAAATAAGCCCGAAGCCTTAGAATCCTAAACCCTACGCCCTGTAAGCCCTAGAATCCCCACAACCTGAAGCCCTGTAAGCCCTAGAATCCTAAACCCAAAGTCCTATAAGCCCTAGAATCCTAAACCCTAAACCCTAAACCCTAAACCCTAAACCCTAAACCCTAAACCCTAAACCCTAAACCCTAAACCCTAAACCCTAAACCCTAAACCCTAAACCTAACCCTAAACCCTAAACCCTAAACCCTAAACCCTAAACCCTAAACCCTAAACCCTAAACCCTAAACCCTAAACCCTAAACCCTAAACCCTAAACCCTAAACCCTAAACCCTAAACCCAATCCTCAACCTTCAGCTCCTGCCTCTCCAAGGAAGCTCGGAACCTTCCTCGGCCGGCTTGCAAGGAGCTCGAGCGGGTGAAGAAGAGTCCGGGGCAGCACTGGGTTTCTGGTTTAGGGTTTAGAGCCAGTTTAGGGTTTAGGGTTTAGGGTTTAGGGTTTAGGGTTTAGGGGACCAGCGGTCATTGGGATTGGGAGCGTCGGCGGGGTTAGGGATTTGCGGTTTTTTTTGGGTGTTGAGGGTGTGAGAGTTTTGAGGTGTGTTTGGGGTTGTGGAGGTTTTCAGGGATTCGGGCTATGTCCGGCTCTTCGAGTACGATTCCTTCTTAGGTTACTCTAATATGAATGGAAGGGCCTGCATCCTAAAAAGGAGGCCACACGCACACACGGATTTAGGGTTTAGGGTTTAGGGTTTTAGGGTTTAGGGTTTTAGGGTTTAGGGTTTAGGGTTTAGGGTTTATAAGTTTAGCGGATCTTGGGTTTGCTTTGAGGTTCAGGGCTTTACAGGCCTCCCCCCCGCCCCGCCGTCAACAAAGGAAGTTTCCGAACCTCTTCCGCTCCGCCATGTACATGGGCGGATACTGAGCAGGGCTAATGCTGCCAAAGGGGCGATGTTGCACAGGATGGAACAAAACGAGCAGACACATTGTTGTCACATTTGCTTTTTGAGAACGGCTGAGTCACACGGGTTTGAGATTCCATATTCGCATGCTTGATAAATGCAGACTTGAGCACTCGCCCTTAAACGGACGCGCAGGGGCGCGACATATCCATCTCGAATATCCGGCTGCACAGGAACAGGAGGTCGGAAATTCCGCCCTTGCGGTGCACCTGCAGACAGAGAGGTTCAAACTTCTGATGGGTATGTATATATTCCTGAAAGTAAGATAGGGGTTCCCTATTTGGGGGTTCCTATTAAAGTAACCCTATAAACCTGAAACCCTATCTGGGGGGTTCCTAGTAAACCCTTGAAACCCCCTAAACCCTAAACCCTAAACCCTGAACCCTGAACCCTAAACCCTAAACCCTAAACCCTAAATCGAAACCCTATAAACCTCTGCTTTGCGGCATCAGCAAGCTGCCGTTTCCTGTGGGCTCGGCATGGCACGGCATGACCAGTCCCGTGGGCATACCTACGTCGTTTGCAGACACCGGACACTTCCCCTCGTAAGGAGGGTTTAGGGTTTAGGGTTTAGGGTTTAGGGTTTAGGGTTTAGGGTTTAGGGTTTAGGGTTTTGGGGTCTATTCTTCAGTGCGCAAGACGACGTGGGCTATTTCACTTGCGTCTCACCTCAAGACCTCGGTGTTCCGACTTGGCAGTGAGCGGCTCACAATCCTCCTTCTGGGGGTCCTAAACCCTGAACCCTGAACCCTCAACCCTCAACCCTGAACCCTGAACCCTGAACCCAGAACCCTGTAACCCCTAACCCCTTCTACGATTTGCTTAAGGAAGAAACCCTATATTGCCCTTGTAAACCCTAAACCCCAAACCCTAAACGCCTTAAGCCTTAAACCCTAATGTTGCACTCGTTTTAGGTCATGTGCCCGTTAGAATCACAGGTGTCCCGAAAGCAGCATTTAATAGGGTGGGTCAAAATGAACCCGAAATAGCAGAAGGAAAATTTATCCCCGAAATTGCCTCATAATAAACCCGAAATAGACCCGTTCTAAGTTCAACGTAAGGCTTATTTCGGACTTGTTTTTGGTTGTCTAGTGTTTTTTCAAAGAAACATTTGCCTTTCAGAATGTTCGAGCACTATTTCTGGGTTATTCTCTGGCCAAATTAGCTAAGGAATTACCCTTAAATAACCATGGCATCCCCCCCCCCCCCCCCCCTCACCCTCGCCTCCCCCCCCCAAGGGCTTGCGTGAAAATGAGGCCCCCAACAAGTTTCGTGATAGGTAGCCCACGGGCCAGGGTGGGGGGCCTACTAAACCGGGCCTAACATTAGAACCCTAAATCCTGTAACCAACCATAAACCTTAAGCCCTAAGCCCTGCTTTTCTCCAACACCTAACTACACCTATAACTACCCCTAACACCCTAAACCTTAAGCCCTAGCCCTCTTTTTCTCCAACACCCTAAACCTTCAAACCCTGAACCCTGAACCCTAAACCCTAAACCCTAAACCCTAAACCCTAAACCCCACAAGGGGTTGTGAGCTGCCCTTGCCAACCCTCGGCACGCGCGTAGCAGACCTTGGCTTCGGTTGACCCTGGCCATGACCCGCAAGAAAAGCGCAGCCGCGCCAGCCTGGAGTCGAGCTTAGGTGCTGGGTAGGGTTTAGGGTTTAGGGTTTAGGGTTTAGGCTTTTGGCTTTTGGCTTTTGGCTTTTGGCTTTTGGCTTTTGGCTTTTGGCTTTTGGCTTTTGGCTTTTGGCTTTTGGCTTTTGGCTTTTGGGCTTGGGGTTTAAGGTTTAGGGTTATAGGGTTGTAGGGTTATTGGGGGGTCCGGCTTTGCTTGAGAGAGTAGGTGTTAGGGTTGAGAGGCTGTAGGGTTTGTGGGGGGGGGGGGGGTTTGGGTTTATTTCGGTATTTCTCTCCACGTTTTGTAGAAAAAGCTATAGCTGTATATGTTGATATACACATAGTGACTGGTTATGGCCGAAATTCTTTTAACTCCGGATTGCGCACTCGCCGGATCAACCCCTTCATTGAACCCCCCCCCCCCACCCAATGAATCAAAGACCTAAACAAAAATGTTTAGAAAGTCTATGCACGCCTGTACTCAACACGAGACACATGCCCTATAGCCCCTAAACCCGAAACCCTAAACCCTAAACCCTAAATCCCTTCATGAGCCTTTTGGAGCAGGTCAAGGAGCATCCCTTCCGGTTGGAGAGGGCAGGCATCGCGGGCCCTGCCATCCAATTTTGGGTCTACTTGGAGGTTCAGGGTACTTATAACCCATATTATAACTGGACTTTTAAGTACCCTAAGGAGGTTATAAGTAGACTTATAACTGTGGTTATAAGTACCCATGAACCTCCAAGTAGGGCTCTTGAAGGTTTGAAAACCTACATGTGCGTGGTTCTCTATTTGGTAGCACAGCAGTACCCTTTACCCTTTTTTGGGTTCGGGCTAAAAGATACCAAGTCTGAATTAGGGTCCTTTTTTTGCGGGGGGGGGGGGGGGGGGGGGCGGGGGGGGGGGGGGGGGGGGGGGGGGGGGGCCGGGGGGGGGGGGGGGGGGGGGGGAGGGGTGTGGGGGGGGGGGGGGGGGCAAAGGGGGGCGAAAGGAGGGGGTGGGGGGCGGGGGCGGAAGGGGGGGGGGGGGGGGTGGGGGGGGTGTCCTTGTTGGCATTTTCGGGGGATCTAGCATTCCTAGTTGGAAGGATTGTAGCTTAATCCTAAACATTCGAAGAAGCAAGAGTCCCGAAGCCCTAAGCCCTGGGCCCTGATTGAGGGTGTTCCAGGTAAGCCGTAAAAACCACAGCTCCTCTAAACCCGAAAACCCAAAAACACATGTAGGTTTCCGAAATAGGGTACCTTATTGGAGTCCCAGGCAATCCTTACCATTTAGGCCGTATTCTTGCAAACTCCATCTCCTGAAGACGAGTCCCCCCCCCCCCCACGAGGCGCACTGTCCTACTTCCGGGGCCTGAACGAAGACTTCCCAGAGGAGGGTTCAGGGGAGTAGGGAATGAGGGAATGAAGGAACTATACCCTAAACCCTAAACCCTAAACCCTAAACCCTAAACCCTAAACCCTCAAGACAAAATAAATAGAAATTGTATGTGGTATCATTCTGAATTTCCCAACTTATTTGTCTAAACAGCTGACAAGCAGAGTTTGAGTATTCATCCAAAGCGCCTGGCGGTATCATGCGGCAATTCCCAAGTTATTTGTCTAAACAGCTGACGAGCCGAGTTTGAGTAGATTTCTCGAAAGCATGTGTCTATCCCACAGCGCAGCCCCAGCCTCCAGCTCCCAGCCCCCCAAGCCCCCCAGCCCCCAGCCCCCCAGCCCCCCAGAACCCTACCCCAGCCCCCAAATTAAGTCAAATTGAACCCAAATTAAGCAGCGCAACATTGAGCGGGGAGCCGGGAAACCCCAAAATAGGCTCCGGCAGGCTCAAACTAGACCGGCCAACCTTTTTTGCTCTTTTTGAAGAGAGCAGGGTGGGTTGGCCGGTGAAAAAGCACGTTTTTTTCACCGACCAACCTTGCGTCAGCTACTTTCACCGGCCAACCTTTTGCTCTTTTTTTAAAGAGAACAGGTTGGCCGGTGAAAAAGCGCGTTTTTGGCACCGGCCAACCTTGCTGTACTAAAACAAGAGCAAAAGGTTGGCCGGTGAAAAGAAGCTGACCCATGAGTTTAGTGACTATCGGCCAACCTTTTTATCTCAATCTATGAAGAAAAGGTTGGCCGGTGCCAAAGGAGTTTTTGGGACCCAAACCCTATACAATTTCTATAAACCCTAAACCCTAAACCCTTTCAGGGACTACATAGGGCTCTACTTCCCTCCTTGACTCCTCAGCTATGGGGGAGGGGGGGGAGGGGGGCGACTCTTGCACCTCAAGCCCTCAACCCGAGTTTAGGTTTAGGGTTTAGGGTTTAGGGTTAGGGTTTAGGGTTTAGGGTTTAGGGTTTCGGGTTTAGGGTTTAGGGTTTAGGGTTTAGGGGTTTACACGGCTTAACCCAAGGTTTTTGGACTTGGGGGAGGTTGGGGTTTGGGGCTCCCTCGGCTCCATCCCAAAAAACAGTGCCAGGATGCTTAGTAGTACCCTTGTCTCGCTGTTTTTGGAGATCGGATACCCCGTTGAAACAACATGAGAGCCGAGAAGGGCGCAGCTCAACTGTTTATACTGTTTGCTGGTGTATGGATTGGGCTTCGGGGCCTGTGGGGGCTTAGGGCGCTAGGGCAAGGACCCTCGGCAGCTTGTACGTTACGAACCCCCTCCCCCCCAGTAGTAGTCACGGCAGACGGTCCACTCTTCGGTACGTTTCTTTTTGCTTTCCGTACGCGGCTGTTACGCCCAAATAACTCCCTTTTGGGTTCCCGCACAAGGGGGCCCATGCAGCAAAACCGGCCCCACCCTTGGGGTTTCTAAAGCCCCAAACCCTAAATCCTAAAGCCTAAGCCCCAGACCTCTGACCCCCAAACCCTAAATCCTAAACTCCAAACCCCCACACCTCCTAACCCCCTACCCGCAACCCCAAACCCCCACTCCCAAGCCCCAAACCTCGAAACCCGAAACCCGAAATCCTAAACTTCTTTCTCTCCATGGGCTAACCCTAAACCCTAAACCTAAACCCTAAACCCCTAAACCCCTAAACCCTAAACCCTAAACCCTAAACCCTAAACCCTACTGGAAAATCCGGATCTGCAGGACGAGGGCTTTGCCCTGAAGCCCTGGGCAGCGAGCTTAGGAGACGAGAGGGTGTAGGGTTTAGGGTTTATGGTTTTAGGCTTTAGGGTTTAGGGTTTAGGGCTTAGTGCTAGGGTTTAGGGTTTAGGGTTCAGGGTTTTAGGCTTTAGGGTTTAGGGTTTAGGGTTTAGGATTTTAGGTTTAGGGTTTAGGGCTTTGGGGTTTTTGGGTTCAGGGTTTAGGGTCATTTGGTTTAGGTGTTTAGGGTTTGGGGTT